GATCGGCGCGGGCCGGCCTCGCGTCCTCGGAGGGTTCGCCGCCGAAACCGCAAATTCTGATCTTGAAAGACCTGCGTCTAAGGCCAAATCCCAACGGCGACCCACCAAAAGCTCGTGAAAGCCGTGAAAGGGGGGATGGAACTCAAGAAATCGTCTGGGAGGGCGTTTATTCACCTTTTACGTGGGTTTTGAACCCTAATGGCACCGAGCGCGGCCCTCGGCGTCGACGGGCCCATCCCCAAGAGGACATGACGGCAACGCGAAAAAAAAGTTCGACGCCGCCAGGCCTCCACGCGGCGTCCTCCTCTACTACGGCCTTTGAAGTGTTGCCTTCCTTTTCCCCGCATTCGTCGCCGACGGCAGCGGAAAGGGCAGGGCTGGAGCCTTTGGCGATCGGCTTTAGCATCTTTGCCACCGCCTTCCACGACGCACGGGCTAAAACGCACGCCTTGAAGATTTTAATGGACCTGATGAGCACATCCTACACCAAACAGCAGAAAAACATCTGTCGCTTTGCCATCGGCTTTGGGGGCAGTGCGGTCGATGGGAACTCGATCCTTTGGTCGGAGCCCCAGGCGGGCTTTGTGGATCGCGTTTTACAATCCACCGCGGTCTCGCACCCGCAGCGATTGCCTTCCTTCATCCATTTTTTGGATTCGCACCGCAAGACGGACGGAACTTCCCCCGACGAGTGCGATGAGGTCTTGTCCGGCAGCCGTTCCCGCTCCACTAGTCCGACGGCGGGGCTTGAATTTCCTTCCCACAAGCGCTCGCGGCCGCCATCGCGCCAATCTTCCCTTTCAGTTGAGAGCACCAAAGCGGATAACTCCGAGAACGCGGCGATGGCGAACCGCGAAAGCGAGTTCGCAGGCGAAGTCCACAACCCATCGCTCCCCTTTGAAGAGAAAAACGATTCGGGTGCTTTGCAGCCAACCCTAAAGCAGGATTCCGTTCACAACCCCCCCCTGTGGCCCTCAGGTCGACCTGCGAGCCATGCCAAACTGGTTTGCGTTGGGGTTTTATCGGCCTCCAAGGCCGTCCCTCGAGAGGTTTGCCGGCATGCCAATGCGATTCTGCTTTACAATGTTCTCCCCCAGGGGGTTGGCTACCCCCTGGGGGTTAGTTCAATAGACGGTAGCCAGCGAAAACTCCAACCCTTAGACAACGTTTTGGCTCTTGCAAATGCGTTGATGGGTCATAACTAACGATATCCACCTGCCCTTCGCAAACAGGTTCAATTGCTTCACATGAGATTCCCAATTTTCTAATTCTATTTTCATATATTGTAGCATTTCACACTCCTATATCTCTTATTTAATTTTCATTTAACCTGTACATTTTATTGAACTATTCCTGTGGTTTATCTGGGGCAATATGCCAACAGGAAAGCCCAGTGCTATCAACACTGTATAGATATAAAGAGAATACTGTCGGAAAGCCATACGTTTGGAGTACATTTATTTTTTTTCGCGCAACGATAGAAACCAGTTTAGCGCCTTGTTTACCATTCTGTGATATTTCCCGCTTATTGATTGTTTTTACCCCTAAAGGAATAGGTCCATCCTTAAACACCTATAACTTGCAACATTATTCCATATCAACACCCATCCCGAGATAACATCTTTAGGCCTCTCGTTTTATTGACGTCTTCTTTGTATTTTCGGTTTACGCTACGATACATTTAACATTTTACCCCTTAACGTGGATCGATTTTTGTGAAATAAGTGGTCGCAATGGGCCTTCCGTCGTTCCTTTTTTTCCTTGCAGGCATCCTGGCGCATACCGGGCTGCCTGCCGTGTTGCCCTCCTCGCTAAAGTTTTTGGCCCCCTCTTTGGGCTGGTTTTTCAGCAGTGCCATCCTTCGCCGGATATCCCCCCTGTTGTACGGCCTTATCCTTGGGATTCAGGGCATCTCGATGTTTTGGCTCTTTCTTAAATTAGGCGAGTACAAACAAGCCTTTGTCCGCCTATTTGTGTGTCCTCTTTGCTTCACGATATTGGGGGGGCTGGCTAAAATTGCGCATTGCGTCCCCAAAAACAAGCTCGCGATCGGTCTTTTGATTTTCCTCCAGCTACAAATGGTGGTAGGAGGGGTAATCATGATAGTGGCTTACCCGGCAAGCACCTTACAATATATCGTTAATCAGGAAGATCGCGAGATCGTCTATGCGCGGACGTGTTCCCAACTAATCAACAAATACAAGAAAGACATCAACCGCATCCAAATCCCCTCCACCGATGGCGAGATATTGGACTCCGTCATCGTCAAGCAGCCCTATAATACCGAGCGCTGGATGATGTTTTTTGGCGGGAATGCCGAGTTTTTGGAGACTTCGCTTCTGCAAAACTCCATCATCGCGGATGAGCTGTCGGCCAATCTCATTTTATACAACTCCCGAGGTCTCGGGCGAAGCAGCAGTTATGTGATGAAGCTCAGCGATCTCGTGGAGGATTCCCTGACGGTCGCCCGCTACGTGGTCCAGCGCGAGAACATCACGCCGTCGAATTTGATCTTGTATGGCCATAGTATGGGCGGGGGCACGGCCTCCGCGGTGGCCGCCCAGGCCTTCCCCACCAGCACCCTCGTGATTGATCGCTCCTTTTCCGACATCAACGACGCGGCCACGTTGATGTCGCCTTTTACGCCGGCCTTCACGACATTTGTCTTGTCCTTGTCGATCGGGCAGCTCGACGTGATTCGCTGCTGGAACCGAATCCACCACGATCGCAAACTTATCTTGTACGCGCGAAATGACGAGACGATTTCCTACAAAACGGCCTCGATCGCCCGTCTGCCGAAATTTCATAGCGGCAGATCGGATCAAAAATATGTTATCGAACTCCACGGCGATAAAGTTTTGTCGTGGCATAATTCACCTTTATTCGAGTTCTACGAAAAAGATGCGATCCTCAGCTATTTAGATCGGTGTTTTGAAACTAAGCCAAATAATCCCATCAAACAGCTTCCAGTGAATCCATAAAGCATTTTAAAAACCAGTCAAGGCGGTTGTGATACTAGTATCTTTAAGGGTTAATAATAATAAAAAAAAGTTAAATCACTTACGTCGATACACAATTCTATTCCATTCACTTTGTATACAAACGAATGAACTGTAAGTGTAAGTCTGTGCAATTGAAGAAGGGAACATACTTTTTTTTTCAAATAATACTAGGGCAGGGTCTTTTATATAACATTTTAATGTTAAAACTTATCTTTTTCTTATTTGTCATTTTAATATCCCAGCCCTTTTTGTTATCAGCATGTCTTTCGATTCATATAAAGGATCACTTTTTACCTAATGTTGAAATAATTGAGTTGCTATTTTTGTGTGAATAAATATTTTGAAAGTGGTAATTTCTAGATAATCAAGAAACGAGGAAGGGACTACTGATAACTGATACCATGCTCCCATTATTTTTTTATCATTGTCTTTGTTAGTGTAAGTTGATTAAAGTATTTGTAGACTGGTTTTCTATCAATTTTTAGACTACTGGGTAGTCTATTTTTGTCATTAAAGAGGATAATCTAAAGTATATATAAGTTTTTCATTATGAACATCCTTTTCTTAACTTTTTGGTAAAGTTTTGTGTAATTCTGATGTATGCTACCAACCTGGCGATTCCCATCACCGGAAATCCTCTTTGATAAAAAACATTCTAACTAATACCTTTTCTAAAGTACGCGATGCAAGCTTGCATGGATGTTACTGAGTTTCAAGCATTTTTTTGCGTTTCTTTCGGTCAAAAAAGTTCGCCTGCGATGAGAATAAAATTACCGTTCAATGACATTAATAAAACTAGGCCCTTTAGAATACCATGTATGTTCTAGAGGGGTGACATGCAAATTGAACCAATTACTTCGATGGTTATTTAAAAGTTGAAAATATAACGAGTGTTCCCGAACAATTACCAATTTATTTCTACGAATGATTGCCTTTTCTACCTGCTCCGTCAAGTTATTGACATTTCCACACCTTCAGCATTCGTTTTACCTTTTTTTTTTCGTGTTTGTTTAACACAGTGTCTACAGTGCACATCACTCGGACTGTTGTTCTTTTTTTTCTTTTGTTTCCTGTTGAACTACCAGGAATCCAACAACACACACAGCGACACATATTTCTTTTGTTATTATCTTTATTATCTTTATATATATCTCTATTTATATATATTTATCTCTTTATTTAACCCTAGCTATCCATTAAACACATTTTTAAATTCCTTTCCCGTGCTTGGCCCTGATGTTTCGCGGGCTGCACAAGCGGCTTCGCCCCGCGCGCGTGGCGAAAGCCAAGCCGACGCCGCTCCCGAAGCGGCAGCTGACGATTTTGTGCGTGGTGCTCCTCACGGAGAGCATCTGCTCGACGATGTTGATTCCTTTTGTGGGGCTTTACGTCTCCTTTATGATGCAATGGCCGCCGGAGAAGGCGGGCTACACCGCGGGGTGTTTGGTGGGGCTTTTTATGCTCGGCCAGGTCATCAGCGGGAAGCAATGGGGCTACGTCAGCGAGACGTGGGGGCGGAAATTCGCGATCGTGGTGGGGGTCTCCTGCTGCGCCGTCTCGGCGTTCTTTTTCGGGCTCTGTTCGAATATCTTCTTGTGCGCCTTTTGGCGCTTCGCCCACGGGATGATGGCGGGCTGCTCGTTGGCCGCGAAGGCCGTCATCGCGGACGTCACTGACCACACCAATCAGTCTAGCGGCTTCGCCCTGATCAGCCTGACCTGGGGCGTCGGCACGCTGATCGGGCCGACCATCGGCGGGCTCTTCTACAACCCCGCCCACCAGAATTGGCTTCGCTTTTTGCAGATCGCGCCGGACGGGTTTTGGGCCCACCACCCCGCCTTTTTGCCAAGCCTGATCGTGGCGAGCTACAACGCCGTGGCGATTCTCATTTGCGTGGTCTTTTTGGAGGAAACCAACAAAGAAGCGAAGCCGCTCCGCCTGGCGCTGCCCGCCCGGCTCGAAGCCCCTCTCCGGCCCTACTTTCGCTACCTTCAGCCCCGGGTAATTGTGGCGAAGGACCCGTTGGGGCGGACCCAAAACGCCCTGGATGTCCTTGTGGTCGATTCCAACCGGTTTGATCTGGCCGCCGAGGACTCCTTGACGAACAAGGAGGGCAGTTTTAGCCTGACGATGACGTTAAATAAGTGGGCGAACGACTTTATCGATCGCGATTACCCCAGACTGGGCGGGCGGGACGGCTACCGCGCGGATCCTTCCGCGGCGAAGCCGCTCATCCCCGACGACGACCCCGACGCCTCGGATCACGAGTTCGACGAGCTGCTCCGCGTGATCGCCCACGAGCCCGCGGATCGCCCCCCGAAGCGGCCATCCTTCGGCTTCACGCAGGCCTTTGCCCACCCGTTAACCCGCGGGGTCTGCGTGATTTCGATGTTGATCGCCGGGTCCGACATGATTTTCGCGGAGATCTTCCCTTTGTGGGCGATCGCGCCGGAGAAGAACGGCGGGCTGGACCTCTCCTCGGGGATGGTGGGGACGCTCATCCTGGTGAACAGCGTCCCTGCCGTGATTGCGAACATCTTCTTCTCGCGCGTCTTTGGGTGCTTTCCAAATCCGATGGTCTTCTGGGCGATCTGTCAGCTTTGCTATGGGGGGATTAATCTCGTCTTTCCGCTGGTCACCCACCTCTCCTCGACGCGGCGCTTTTTCGCGACGATGGGGCTGGGGCTGCTTCGCAAGCCGCTGGAGTCGTGGACCTTCGCGACGTTGATGTTGGTGGTCGCGCGGGCGGCCCCGGAAGGCTTCGTCAGCATCATGTACGGCATCCAAC